ACCCAAGAGATGACTTTGTAAGTTTACTGTATGATTGGAGAAACAGACCAAGACACTGACCATTACTAGGGTGTGCTAACTACTATGCTGGAGAGAAGCTTCGAATACCATGGGGGACACACAGGGACTTGTGGGGACATAGATAGGGCCCCTGGGAGCAAGGGAAGGTTTTCTAGAGCTGAGTGGAGCAACTCAAGGAAAGGGGTGTGGGGACGTTGTAGTCAGAGGGAGCAGCACACGCAAAGGCACAGAGGGGCTAGCCCTATTATTCCCAGGTGGTTGGGAAGAAGCATGGTTTTTAATGGATAAACAGAAGCACGGAGGGAGCAGGTCAATTAGCTAGTACTTCCCAGCTCGTCCAACCACACCCGGAACAGGCATCTTTTCCAGTGTTATGACATGAAATAGGCCAGATGATTCTTCCTTTCCATTCCGAGGCTGTCTTTGGGCTCAACCAATGTAGCAAAGCACCATGGCAGATAAACCACAGCATCCAGAATGACATTTGTTTGTTGCAAAGAGATAAATAATGCATTACACCTGCTGTTTTCCACCTGATGCTTTTAGTCTGAAGAGCAGCAAGTTTCTACTTGCTGGCTTCTGCCCCCTCAGACGTCGGGTGCCTGGTTCTGCCTCTGAGCCCATTGGGGCAGCATCTCCGCACAGGCAGGAGCACCGCTCTCACCCGCACCACGGCCACGACCGGGGGATCAAGCAGTAGACATGTGGCCGGGCCAGCACAACAGTTCCCACTGAGAGTGGGAAGTGACCCGGGGGTCTGCCAGCACTTCCTTGACCGACCTCCATGTCCTTCTTTTCACTCGGAGTTTGGGTCCCGTCGGCCTTTCTGAGCAGAATCTTGCTGCTCCAGATGCGAGGCCTTCGCAGGGTCTCCCTATGCTCTGTTCTCCTGGCTTTGTCTGGTCCACCCCTGCTCATCCTTCAGACCCGCTTCTGGGGTCCTTCCTCTGACCCCCAAGGAAGGCTCTCCTGACCCTGCTGCCCCCCTTCAACGTCCTCCTCACACAGCGCAGTAACTCAGCGGTGTCTGTTCCTTACTGAGCTCAGGGACTGGTATTTTGTCCCCCGGGTAGGATGTTATAACTTTCCCAGTGAATCTCGTTTTGCTATGCTTGGTCTGTCTATCCATCCAGCTATCTGAGGGCTTTGGGGATCCCGATTCTTTATATGAATTGTCCTTGGTTTTTCCTAGTTTCTTCTTCTGCATAAGATATAAGCCTGGCTGCTAAGCCCATATCGAAGACACTGACGAAGGCTTTGGCCGAGACAGGGCAGAGGCCGGCGCTCTGCAGCACACCCGCCGAGGGTCCCGGTAGGACCATGGTACACAAAATCTGGCCCCAGCTGCACTGCATAGGAATCCCTTGTGAGAATTCATCTTCCAAATACAGATAACTGATAACTCAGAAATACAGAATCAGCATTAATAGAGGTGGGGCCCATGAACTATATTTTTAATAAACATTCACATGATCTCAGTGTGTAGCCACGCTTGGGAATCAGCAACTCCAGAGTTTTCTGTGTTCAAAAGCCAAAACCAACACCACTGTGATCTGGCCCAAAGTGACGACATCTCAGGTGTCCAGCTTGGTGAGACCCATGGCAGAGCATTGCCGGTCCCGTAGACGTAGTCAGTCCACCACACGACACACACACCTAGGCGACTGATGCACAACCGCCCTGACCTTTCTCTGCTCCCCCTCCCCGCCCCCCACTGCTTTCTCTGCTCCCAGCTTCTCTCTTTCTGGTTCTGTGTCTTGGATTTTGGGACCACATTTGAGCATCTCTGCCCCCACTCCAGCTCACCACGGGCACTCTTTAGACAGCTCTGGTCTGGCCTCCCCATGGCCCCCGAGGAGATCCCTCTCCTAGCTGGTGCACTGAAACAAGCAACTCTTGGATACAACTCAGTCTCCATTTAATAAATTGACCTGCGGCTTCTCAAGGCTAGGACCTCATTTACCCAGATTTGCATCATACTCCTATTAGTTCTGTTCTCACCGTGTCCACAATGCCCAGCACACAACATGCTGGGGTTGGTACATAGTAGGTGCTTACTAAATTTTTCTGTCTGACGCAGAATTCTTTAGTCGCATGCAATAACTAGAATTAGTGAAAAAAACAAAACAAAACACAGGCGTCTAAGCAAGACAGACGTGAGTTCGAATCTCAGCCCCAGCATTTGTTAGCTGTATGGATTTGGACAAGATGACTCCCCTTTGTGAATGTAGGACATCACAGCTAAACCTGAGAGGTGTGGCTGGGTGTCTGAGGGCACTGTCAGCTCTCACACTATGATGGAGGCACAGACCTGCCCTTTCTCCCTGGCAGCCTACTTTGGGCTCCTCAGAAGGTCATTCATTGTAGTCTGGCCGTGCTTTTCAAGTCCAGCTGCTGGACTGGTCTCCTCCGAGCAGCACACGGCAGGCTGCCGGCAGACCCTCATGGTCGGTCACCCCGCGGCAGCCCCAGCCCCCCTCAATCAGCCAGCCCTGTCCCTTAATTCGGCAGCACTCTGCCACTCACCTGAGTAATTAATCTGGCTTCTGCCTGTGAATTCCTTTCATCCACTTTTGTTTACTACTGTTGAAGCATTTTTAATCAAAACAATTAAATATGCTAAATCTTCCCCAATCAGTAAGGCATTATAATTTAAAAGTGCTTGAACAGAAATGGTAGAAGAAGCCCTTCGCCTGTTTCTGAGGCTGGTGCTGAGAACATCACGTCTCCCAGGCACTCAGCTCAGGGTTCTTGGGAAAGTGGCACTCAGAGTCGCGGGGGGCTGCGGCTGCCGCGGGCCCTGGAGAGGAGCCCGTCCAACCGACTCTCCGTAAATGGGAAACCGAGGCCCAACGAGATCATGGGCTCGTACAGGGTGTCAGTGATGGGGATTTTGTTTTGTTGTTTCACTTAAAAAAAATATGTACATGTTTAAGGTACACACCATGACGATTTGATATAGACACGAAGTGAAATGATCACTAGACGAGCAAACTTAGTGACCTTTTCTGTGTGTAGGAGCGAGTACTGGAGGACCACTGGCTTGGCACATTTCCGGTATGCAGTGTAGTATGATTAGCTGTGGTCCGCAGGCTGTATGTTAGGTCTCTGTGCTGCGTTGGTCCCTGGAGCTGCACCTTGTGGCCTCTGACCAGGGTCGCCCCACCCCCCTCCTGGCCCCTGGTGACCACTCTCCTATTCTCTGCTTCCATGTGTACGACTATTCTAGATTCCACTCCTAAGTGAGATCATGCAGCCTTTTTCTTTCTGTGTCTGGCTTATTTCACTCAGCATAATGTCCTTCAGGGTCATCCAAGGTGCTGTAAATGGCAAGGTCTCTTTATTTTTATTTATTTATTTTTGTTAATTCTCATCTGAGGATATTTTTTTTTCCATTGATTTGTTTTAGAGACAGTGGAAGAAAACGGGGTGGGGGGGGGGGAGAAAGAGAGAGAGAGAGAAACATTAATGTGAGAGAGACACATTGATTTGTTGCCTCCTGCGCACATCCCAAACCAGGGCAGGGGATCGAACATGCAACCCAAGTACATGCCCTTGACCAGGAATCAAACCTGCAGCCCTTCAGTGCATGGGCTGATGCTCTGACCACTGAGCACACCAGCCAGGACCTCTTTATTTTTTAAGGCTGAATGATATTCAGTTATACACACACACACACACACACACACTTTTTTTTAACCATTCATCTGAGTGACTGAGATTTGAATTCAGGATTTCTGACTTCTAAGATTCTGTCCATCAGAAGCCCTTACCAAAAGATACACAGCATTCACTTACTCAGTGTTTTCATTATTCTGAAATAGTTACTGAGCTCCTCCTCCGTGGCAGATGTTGCACGGCGACGCTGACAAGAAAGTGGTGAATAAGATAAAAGTCCTTGAACTCAGAGTTTGCAGTCTAATGGGGTTCAGGCAGGTAAAATTTGTTACTGAATACTCCCTTGAAAATATTCAATCTAATCCTCAGCTCAACTGAATTATATCCCTAAATAATTTTTCCTTTGCGGTTGCCAGGATAATGTAATAATTATTATACAGTTGCAGTTAATTAAAATTAATGATATTTCATATGACAAACTCCAGTTCACACCCTCCAGAAAGCTTTAGCTGCAGAAAGAGTTGAACTCTGCAGCAATGCTCAGTGTGTTGCTCCATTCTGCTTTCCTAGCCGTATCTCCCCAGGATGACCAAGGGATGACAACTCCGCTCTGTTCATTTACAGCCTGTGGGGTCAGGGCACAATGACTCGACTGCTTTGAGAATTATGTTCCTCATCTGCAAAATGCAGGTTCCTCAGTGGGACAAATACAGAGATGTAGGCAAATGAGATTGCTAATATGGGGCTCACAGTTCTCCTGGGATTAGAAGGCAGGTACCCTCTCCTGGAGACATCTCTCTCTTCTAACAGCACACTGGCCTCTCTGGAGAGCAAGGAGAACCTGGGCAAAAAGAACTGTGACAACACTGGCCACGCGGGTGCAAACAAGGCACATTGGTGGATCTGAAGAAAGAGCCAGGTGTTCTGATCCAAAATGCTTCATGGAGTAAATGCCCTTTGAACTGGAGCTTGAGTAGACTTTGGAAAGGTGGTGAAAGGGAGAGAGAAAGGGGCAACCTGTGTAAAATCGCAGAGTGGGAATAGACCAGGCACTGCGCTGGGCGTAAAGGAATATGGAGGCGGGTGAGAGTCACTGCCCCACGGAGGCTCAGGAAAGAGTGTGCAAAGGAAAGGGAACTAGCATGTTTGAGTAATTGGTATGTGCAATACATAGCTCTTCTCATGTCAAGAATTATTGGAGCTGGAATCGAGAACATTGAAATTGGGTAAAGAAACTGGATTTCAACCCAGATCTCTGAGACTCCAAAACCAAATCTAGCTTTTACTACTGTGAGTTGGTCGTACCATAGGAATAGTCTTTCAGGATCTCAGCACTTTGTGTTTCTGTCTCCCTATTGTAGGTGTTACCTATGAGGATGTCCAGACATGCTTTGGAGGGTCTCTGGGCATTTCTTACGACTTTCCAATCGGCGCACAGGTTGGAGGAGGTTTAAAAAAAGAACTTTGTGAAAAAAGTGGAAAAGGCACATCTCGTAAGTATTTAGTAAAGAGTTTCCCAAAAAGAAAAGCCAGACTTTTTGTTGGACACAGAATCAAGTTATGGAAACTATTCCCTGCCCCCCACCCTCCAATTGATTCCATCCTAGTCAATGGTCAAACTACATAGTTGCTAAATACTCCAAGCCGATGACCTGTACTGGCTCTGTGTTTGAATCCGCCAAGGGTTGAGATGACCTTGGAAAGACCTGGCTTTTTATGGTGCACGCTCTTTAGATTTCAAGTACTACATAAAGGTCAAAGCGAGACTTAGGATGAAGGAAATGTGTAGACAGAACCTGGAAAATCAACTGTTGAGATAAAGGCCCATCAGGATACAGTCCAGAGGGAGGATATATGTCCCTGAGAGAAGTTGGTTACCAAGTCCAAGCTCAAAGAATAATTAGAGAAAGATTGATTGGAATATTTTGTAGCATTTCATAAAAACGTCAATATGAGTGTTCATTTGTTCGTTCGTTCATTCGTTCATTCATTCATTCATTCATCAAACATGCATTGAGCATTTTCTCCAGGTGGGAGATAACAAAGAATGCAGGGATGATGACACAGTTTATAGGGTAGTGGATCAAGGTAAATACAAAACAGGTTCAAGTTACTCCCCTGGCGTTAGGCTACTCATGCCTCAGGGCCTTAAGTCAAATTACTTCTTCTCTCTGATGTCCTCCTCTCCTCTCTCCATTTCCTGGCAAAGATTAATTCACTTTTCTAGAAAACTCACCTTTTATCCTGACCAGTCCCCCACCCTACTGTAGATCTGACCATGTCTTTCTCTACACCCCTACTGAGCCCCACAGAGACATTCACTGTTTAGTGGAACCTATTTGACATAGCAGCACTGAATAAGCATTTGACATGTGAATGTATAAATGAATGAGTGAATGATTATCCCTTTTCCCACCTTCTCTCTCCTCTGTGTTGGGCTGGGCTGTCCTCTCATTGTCTGCTCAAACTCAGAGGATGGTTCTATTGCTACGTCTTGGTCCTTCTCTTCTGCTTAGTCCTGTTAGATAACCGAGCAAGGTAGAAGAATGGAAGCCAGTTCTAAGAACAGCACATAAACTCTGTCCCATATCTCATTAGTGGCCCTTGTGAACCTGTCCTTCGGATTTTTGGGAAATGAGCTAATGCAGTGTCCTCTCGATAGCAACCGACGCAAAGAACATGGGAGTGGAAGACATCATATCCATGGTGAGAGGTGGCAATTCCGCCTGGGGCACTGGCTTGGCCCACAACACAAGCATCGTTACGTATCGTTCCTGGGGGAGGTCGTTAAAGTATAATCCTGCCGTTATTGATTTCGAGGTAAGTCTTTTCGCAGTTGAAGAAACTCTACGTCCAGGAGCAATGAAAGTGAAACAGACCAGATCATTTCATATTTCTTATTATGGGCCCATCAAAGAACGAGATTAAATGGTAACGGCACACTGACCTGGAGGCCCTCCGACGCCTGACTCCGGGGAGTATGTGACTTTAGACCCAGCCACAGGACAGCTGGGATCACACGTATACTATCTGGCTGGTGCCCAGTTTGACACGAGTAGTCACAGAATCTCTTCAGGATTGGGTGACATTGAAAATAATGATAATTTATATGTATACACACAAGACTTTAAAAAACACATCTGTTATACTGGGGCTTGGCACACTTTTTCTATACAGGGGCAGATAGGAAATATTTCAAGCTTTGTGGACCATATACGGTTTCTGTTACACAAATTTTATTTCTTCTTTCTTTTTTTTACAACCTTCTAAAAGTGTAAAAACCATTCTTAGCTCAAAGGCCATAAGTGGGTTGAGTGCGGTCCTGAGCTGTGGCTGTACCTGCTGCCTCTGCTCTAAATGGTCTCATCTCTTCACCACAATGAACCCTACACATGCTACACCCCATTGAAGAGATTAGGAAACTGAGGCTCCAAGGACTCAAGTGATTTGTTTAGGGTCCCATATGTAGTAGAACCTGGGTCTCAGACCTTTGGATTTCTTTTTTCTTTTTTCTTTATTGATTTTAGAGAGAGAGGAAGGGAGAGGGAGAAAGAGATAGAAACATCAATGAGAGAGAACATCTATTGTCTTCCTCCTGCACACCCCCCACTGGGGATCTGGCCCACAACCTGGGCATGTGCCCTGACTGGGAATCTGACCAGCGACCTCTTGGGGCATGGGTCAACACTCAACCACTGAGCCACACCGGTGGGACAGACCTTTGGATTTCATATCCAGGTCTCATTTCCCTGTATCCTAGTATCTTCCTCAAAGCCTTGGTTATCAGCCACTGGGGGCAGTGTTGTTCCCACCGGGACATCTGATAATGTCTGAACACATTTTTGACTCTCATGACTGGGAGGGTACTACTGGCATCTAGAGGGTAGAGGCCAGGGATGCTGCTGAACTTCCCACAATGCAAAGGACACCCCTCACCACAAAGATCCAGCCCCAAATGGCAGTAGTGCCAACATGGAGGAACACTGCCTAAATCCCTAATCTTACAAAGGGAGTAAAATTGTATTCCAACTGCAAATAAGTAACAGTTCTACCAGTTGTCAAACTACTTCTATTCATATGCAAGGGTAATCTATTAAAAAGGAGTGATATTTGGGGCTTTTAAATAAAATATTATTGTTTTCCTGTCCACTTTCTCCTGACCCTTCCCAATTTTCTACATATAATTAAAATTCCAGGTATGGGCGCATTCCTCTTCTTAAAATATATACCAACAGTTAAACCTAAAAGTCTATTATGACACTGGCTCTCTATGAAGAAAGAGGTCAGATGAATTAGCCCTGGTTTTATTTCTTCTCCAATAAGTAAGGGACCATTTTCACACACCTGTAATTCACATAGGGTCTGAAAATTGCTATCATCAAGCTATGAGTGATTTGGGCAAAAACTGTAAAATTGATATCAGGAGTAATATATGCACTTTCATGGGCAATAGGTGAACTTTGCATTTGCCTTGAGCAAAACTTCCAAGGGGAAGCCTCATTCAGACCAAACGCGGTCCTCCGGGAAAGGGAGCCCGGGTTTGGGGTGAGAAAGATATAATTTGGCTCAGCAACTTTTTGATGTCTAACGTTTGACAGTTACTTCATTTTCTGAGCCCCATGTCCCCGCTCTATAACCTGGGGACAATGGGATGCCGTGTTCCGAGGTTAGGGGGCGAGAAAGGGTACCTACAGAGGTCAGCTGAGAAAACAGGTCCCAGGGGTTAAGTGAGCTGACCAAGGCTTGTGTCCGGTAAACAGCAGAGCCCAGCTTGAGCCATGTCTGATCGACTCTGACACCCACAACCACAACCATGGGACTCTGGAAGAGTTTGGAGTCGAGGCAGCAAGTCGCTGGAGGGTGACAGGGCTCGAGCTGGGCCCTACTGATGCTCACCAAGGACTGAAGGGTGAACGGGAGGAGAGAGACACTGTGGACGACGGGACCAGCTGGGGGTTATTGGAGCTTGACGATCTGAATGGAAACACTTATTTACTTGTACATCCCCAGAGCTTAGCAGTACTTATTTATGGTAGGTACTTAGAGTGAGTGACTATAGGGATCATGTGATGTGATGATGGCATGTTGTATGCAGTGAGCTATGTGTTGCCGTATCACACCACTTGCTTTCTCTGAATCTCTTTTCTCATCTGTAAAATGAGAACAAGAGCAGTTGCCAATATCTTTTCAAGCTCTAATATTTCAAGATTTTGTCCCGCACCCCGATCTTCCCTCCTTTACGCCCCCACCGGCTCGAAGGGGAGCTCCCTGAACTCTCCCTGAGGGTCTGGGAGGGAGAAGCAAGAGATGGACGGGGTGCTAAGCTTCGCTGGAAGGTCACAGGGAAGTGGCCCAGCGGCCCTGGGCTTTCCCTGGAACCAACAGTCCCTTGAGCCAAGGCCACAGGGCACCCGGGCCGCACGGCCTTCCTGACGAGGGGGCGTGTTCCCTGTACTTCCCGAAAGTTCTGCCCTTCCCTTGGCTGGAGGCCCAGCCAGATGGGACATGCCCAGCCTGATGACCTCAGCCCCAGCCCCTGACCACAGGCCAAAGTCTGTTTGAACAGGTCTCTGCACACACTTCCAGGAACCATTCAAGGCCGCGCAGTACCCTCCACTCACTCAGACTCTAGAGAAGGGAGGTTGCCCCGGGCTCCGGCCTCTCTGAGTCCCTCTGTGACCCTGGCAAACGACCCCTCTCAGGGCTTCAGGTGCCGGTCCTGAGAAACGAGAGGTCTGGAAAAGAGCTTTAATTTCATGATTGTGTGCTAAAATATATAGCACCATTCAGTGTGCTGAAGGTAACCATAGGTACATGACATTTGAAAAATATGGGTTTTTTTGTTACTATCATCACTTCTAATAGAAATGGTGATTTTATACGGTTCTTCCCTTTTGTAATGATATCTCACATTCATCACTTCTTTAGATCCTCATAAGAATTCTGAATTAGGTTTCTATTTCCATTCGGCAGACAGTGAGGATCAGGTTGAGAGGGGCGTTAAGAGCTCTGGCCCCAAAGCTCGGGGGTGAGCAGCGTTCACTTGCCTTGTACTCGGTGACAGGCCGTCCCTGTCCACCGACCGCCAGCCTCGCCATGCCGGATCGCGCCGCGGGAAGCGGCAGGGCTGGGATGTGGAGGCGGACTTCCTGCCTCCCCTGCCTGCTCTCTCCATCTGCTGCAGTGCTTCCCACGGAAGGGCCGCTTGAGTCCCCCAGGGCACCGTGGGCAATGTCGGGAGACAGTTCTGGCTCCCACAGCTAGGAGGTGCTCCTGGCATCCGGCGGGTGAAGGTCAGAGAGGCTGCTGAGCAGCCCGTGATGCCGGAATTGCAGCACAGAATTGTCCAGCTGGAAAGTCAGTGGTGCCAAGGTTGAGAAACCCTGGACCATGGTCATGCCCGGAAGGGGCTGCCTCAAACGGAAGTGATGCCCACCCTCCCCGTACACGTCATCTGCAATGACAGCATCACCAACTATCAAGGACTTCGCTAGTTCCTGCATGGAAGGTTGACAATCAACACACACACACACACACACACACACACACACACACATCCTTTACATGCTTCCTGATTCCTAGAGTGCTGGAGGGAGCAGGTGAATGGGCACACATGGCTTTTGAGGTCCCCACTTCCTTTGAGATTGGGGACCACACCTTCAGAGTTAAGCAGGTCCACAGTCAGAGTGACTTGTGCTCTTTGTGTGACCCTGAGCCGGTCCCTCACACCGTCCGGAGCCTCCACGGCTCCACCTGTGGGCTGGAGAAGTTAGCTCCTGCTCAGAGTGGCTGCGAGGGTTTGGTGCAGCGGGAGGACCTCGGTGTCTTGCTCTGGCCTGTCACGTAGCAGGCCTTCCAGGAGCTCGCGGCCAGTTCTCAGGCTCTGGGAACCTGGATGAGCCCAGGGAGGGGCCTCTGTTGCTTTTGTGCCCACAGACACTGCCGATCCACGAGCTGCTGCGGCACACCAACCTGGGACCCCTGGAGGCCAAACGCCGGAACCTGGAGCGGGCCTTGGATCAGTACCTGGCGGAATTCAATGCCTGCCGGTGTGGGCCCTGCTTCAACAACGGGGTGCCCATCCTCTCGGGCACCAGCTGCAAGTGTCAGTGCCCACTGGGTCGCCAGGGCTCTGCCTGTCAGCAGATGGAGCAAGAGGGTAAGAGGCGTGCGTCCTCACTCAGTGTACGCCCGGCCCAGGCAGGGAGGCTGCGCAGAGAGCGCTCTGGGCTGCCGGCCTCTCCGTCCGGTGCCCTCGTGCCCATGTGCCCAGTGCCCTAAGAACGCACATGCTGAGCTTTATTGACCCCACACTTAATGGCTCTATCCTTTCCCTCTGCCTCTAAGACCTTCCTCAGAGGAGAACTGTTTGCTGCCCAGGTGAGCCTGGGCAGGAGGCTTCCATCTTGGAGGGGTACATTCACTCCGAGGCTGCCGTGACGTGGCCAGCCGCCCCGTAGCTGGGAGCAACAGAGATGTGTTGCCTCCCGCTTCTGGCAGTTAGAAGTCACAGTCCAGGTCCATTGGCCAGGTCGCCTCTGCGGCTCTGAAGGAGACCGTTCCATGCCTCGCTCCCAGCGTCTGGTGGTTGTTGCCAGTCCTGGTGTTCTTCAGCTTGGAGAGACATTCCAGTCTCTGCCTGTCTTCGTGGGGCGGCCTCGGCTCGTCGTCTCTGTTTTCACTAGTGTTCTTCTGAGCACATAGTCGTTAGATTACGACCCACGCTAATCCAGCGACAACTCATTCCGATGTGATTTAATCTGCTGAGACCCTATTTCCAGATAAGGTCACATTGGCATGGAATGGGGGTTTGGACTTGAACATATCTTTTGAGGCACGTAATTCAACCCGCTGGAAGGGTTAAGTAGTTGTCCTTACCGTGCGAGGGTTTCCGCCTAAACACAAGGTGGGGCAAGTCGGTTTAGACATGCATAGCTGTAGCCTGAACCGGAGGAGACCAGGGAAGGAGGCTCTCAAACAAGGGTTCAAATCCACATCCTTTCGCGATGAAGAAGTCTGCGCACCTGCTGTGAAGCCCGACAACCTCATAGCTTGCCGAGACACTGGTTAGTCACGTCTTTCTCCTGGGGCTCATCTTTCTCATCGAAGTTTTCTTTGAGCCCCGAGAATCTCTGCACACACCCCAGGCTTCCACTTTTCCGTGCATCCAAAATTGCTCATGTGGTACAGGGGGTGATGATAAAAACGTGAGCTACCGAATCTGTGTGAAGAGAGGGTTAAGAAAAAGAAGCCTGCATAGGTGTATCTAAGGTACTACTCTTGGGTCCATAACACAGACGGTGGAAGCACAGGAAGAACAGGGTGCCTGGTGTTTAAAGCAGAGGGTGTGGGTTATCATTTCCTCGCTGGGAGGCAGGATAGCAGAGCTCTGGTGTCTGACAGGCCTTTGAAACCCAGTGCTGCCGACTCTGTCTAGGAACCCCCAGGCGGCATGCTCATCACAGGCTGTGTGGAGGATTGAACGGGGGGCGGGGGGCTCTGGCTCACACAGGTGGCTCGATTATAATAAGTAAGCAAAGGAGAGCTCAGCTGGTACAGGATCTGACCAAGGTGGGCGCCTCGTCTAAATACCCCCTACGCCGGCTGGAGGGAGTACAGATTGAGGCCCAACCAGCTGCCTGGTATCCTGCAGGAGGAATCTGAGAGAGGTGAGCCACAGTGGTGAGTGATCCAGGCTTTATGAAGGAGGTTGCGAAGAATAACACCCAAGCAGACCAATGACCAGGGCAAAGCCTGTACAGTTTCCTCGTGTGAACTGGACAAAGGTACTGCCTGACAGGTGGGGGAAGGGGGAGAAACAGAAACGACTCAGGGCCGATACTGCCTAGCTCCAGGGTCCAAGGACTTCTTGGCTCTTCGAGCAGAGTGTGGAGGGGCTTCAGCCCCCCTTGCCCCGTTTGCCAGGAAGCTTTCCCAGAGGGACCAAGGCCAGCGAGTAAGAAGAACTCACCCTAGTCTGTGCCAGGCACTACCACAACACGTCATGTGCATGGACTATTTATCCCCCCAAGGATGTTATGAGGTATATACTATAAATAGCCCCATTTTACAGATGAGGAAACCAGGGCAGGCGGAAGATGAGATGACTTGCTCAAAGTCATTAGCTGGGGAGAGTCAGAGCCAGGACTTCGACCCAAGTAGTTAGGTGCTGGGACCCAAGCTCTTAACTGCTGCATTCCACTGAATTACATCCTAAGAGTCAGGAAATGTGGGGAATGAGGGGAGAGATTCTGAGATGATTCCATTGACTACCATCTTGGGGAGCAGGGACAGAGGGTATATCTTGGTTCACAGTTATCAGCACGGCTTGGCTTAAAGGGGCAAACGTGAGCCCTGCCTGGGCAAGTGCAATTACATGTCCAGGGCCCTCAGAACCAGTGACTGACTTGGATCCTGTCCCCACAGCATAGAGACAGAGAGAACAGGGAGTGAGAACTACCTAGACATGCCTTTTCAGCGGCCCAGTGCTGGCTCAGAGCTGGTCCATGCTGAGTGATCTGTACACACGATGGGCATTGGAGAAGGGGGGCATGATGCCAGTGATGTGGGGGTGGTGGCAGGGCACAAAGGCCCGGGTCCTCCTCCTCACAGCCCCATTCCTCCTGCACAGTTGCATTCAGTCAGTTGCGGGAAGCTCATGGTGTTCCATTGACCTTGTTCCAAGCAGGGTGTGGACATCAGGTGGCCTCGGGGCTATCAGACTGAACTTTACACCTGACAGAGATCAATCTGGCAAAAAAACATCAAAGGTTGGGGAGTCAGCCACCATAGAGACTCAGACACAGGTCCCTAGGGATTCTCCCAGCAAACCTTTGCCTGTGGGGACTGGTCACAGAGGTGGGGGAAACAGAGACAGAGAATCTTGCTGTGGCTGCCCTACCAGGGCGTACAGTCAGAGAGCTGGAAGGAATGTGAAGATAATCTCATGCGATGGTAGTCACACTGGGATCTGAGAAAACTGTCACCCAGAGGAGGGGTGACACTGACAGTCAGCCCAACTTCAAATACAACAGCTCCCCTCTCATCTGACTTCCATGTCGGGGCCCGTGCAAGATTTCATTTTAGAAAAAAAAATAATGATGGACAACCCTGCTGGATTGGTCCATCCTTCTCATTTTACAGAGGGGAACACTGGGGCCGAGGGAGGAGAGCTGGCCCGAACGCGCAGAGCCGGCAGGAGGCGCCGCCCCGGGCTGGGGGTTGTGTGAGCTGGATTTCCAGACACGCTGCATGTGTTCTGAGGCTCTGTGCAGAGAATCTTCACCCACCCGGCCCCACTGTCAGAGTCTGAGAGGGTTTGACTTGCAAGCCCTTGTTCTAAAGCTCAGCCTTGCTCTCCACAGGGGTGCCTGTGAATTCCCAGCGGGGCACTCTCCCCTTCCTCACACCCTCCAGGGCTGTGTCTTTCTTTCAGAGGGGCATGCCTCCCTGCCTTACTCTGCCACCCATCTTCATGGAACCACAGGCTCCAATTTCATGAGATGGGCTCCCCAGGGGCCTCTCTCACTCCTTTCAGAATTTCAAACTAAGTGTGAGGCATTGAGCATGGGTCTGGGTTGGCTACACCAAGGCATTTCCCCAAGGAGGGATTGCAGACCATTCCAGGGCAAGAGGTGGTCCTCCCAGCTGTTCTTGTAGACTAACCTCCTTCTCCCCTGGGAAACCATCTGTGCAGCAGCCAAGACGGACGGTCGCTGGAGTTGCTGGAGCTCCTGGTCAGCGTGCACAGCAGGCACCCGGGAGAGGAGGAGAACGTGCAATAATCCTCCACCCAAGAATGGAGGCACCTCATGTCCAGGGTGGACAGTGCAGACCCAGGCTTGCTGAAGGCCTCCGGGCATGGGCTGGGACACATGCAACGGATGTCACCACCTGCACTGACCACTGGATAGCGACTTCTTGCAACTGAGAGTCAGCTCCAGTCAACGTGGACTTTTTCTCTGTCCTGCCAGCTCCCAGGGCTAAGACCAGGCTGTGCGTCTACAACCAGCTGTTCTATTCCCTGCAAAACTCAGTCATCCAACAACTAGGTGCTGCGTGGTCACCAGTCTCAGTCCTGCTCATAGCACTTTGGATCATCCCCCGTTCCTCCTCCCCCAACCCCAAAAAAGGAGCAATCTCAACCCATGTCTTACAGGAACTTCTAGGACACTGGAGGTTAGGGCTGAAAAGCAGGCATGGGCTCTGGAAACAATCAAGGCCAATAAAACAAAATATGAGGAGAATTATCTTGGTTCTTTGATAATAATATTTGTTCATTCATTGAACGATTATCAGTTGGTAGGATAAGCAGACACAGTGAAATAATGAGGAAAAAAATTAAAGATTGACTCGCGTTCTTTCAATTTTCCTTCATTTCGACTCAACATTTTCTTGTGTTCTTTCAATTAATGTCTTGTTTGCTGAAGTTCTTACCACGATATCATATTTCTCCCAATTATTTTCTCACACTATTCAATTTCTTCTTTGTGTTTTCCATGGTTAGTCCTTGTATATTGGGGCCCATATCTCCAGGGACTATTTATGACCATCTGCTGCTATCTTGAGGACGGCGTTAGCTTTGTTTGGTTCAGCGCTGTATCCGCAGAAGCCAGGGCTATGCCTTGAGTTGGGAGGGACCTAACAAGCTTCCGTGGATGAAGCGAGGGACTGAGCTCAAGAAACAGTTCAGAGATGGGGTCCATATTGGTCAGGCTCGCAGAATGGACCATAGATCGGAGGGGCCAACCAATAATGATCAGCATACCTTCCCTGCCACACCGGCGGCAGCCAATCCCCAGCAGCCTCAGTTCCCACAGCACGCCAGTCATGCCTCAAAGAGAGAATGGGTTGTGTTGCAATGAGTTTTCTGTTTACCTGTAAGTGTCTCCTATAGACTGCAAGCTCCTTCAAGGTAGAATTTGTATTCCCAGTGGGTACAAGAGACATCTGTGTATATGTACGTACTCTATCTTTCCAGAGTCCTCAATCTTTTTAGTGTAGTAATAAGACTTGTATAGACATGATTGCATTAGAACGGGTTTTAGGGACACAGGAAATTAATTGCTAAGTTAATGCTCAAACATGTGGCACACAAAATGAGTGCCAAGGGAGGCCAGGTGGGAGACAGACTGACTTCTCTGTGTGCATTTTATATATGGAATAGGGCTTGACCCAGACCTTGAAGGATTTTTGAATGTGGCAAAGAGGGAGGAGACCTTTAAGAAAGACATTCAGCATGTTACAAAGTTTGAAGGTAGGAAGGGATGGTGGGGGCATGTGTAGGTGTGTGTATTGGGAATGGAGAAGATGGTGAATGTGAATAAATAAGTCATATAAAATACTTAAAAAACAATGCCTGTCACATACGAAATTATTGGCATCACCCTTAATATTATCATTGTTACTACTATTAATTAAAATGTATAATTTAAAAGTTTATTTCTGAACTCTTTAGATCTTCTGTCGTCAGTTTACCTTTTAATTAATTAGTTTACTAATTAGTTTACTAATAATTAATTTCCACTTGTGAGTCACTGGGAGCGGCTAGAGTGTGAAGAGAGGCCAGCCGGCCAGGCCGAGCGGGTAATTTACAGAGACCGTTCAGCTTGATCCAAAAGTGGTGGCTCTCAGTCTTGGCTGCACCTAGAATCACCTGGGAGTTAAAAAAAAACACCCTGCTGTCAAGAGGCTGCACCCCAGGCTATTTGCTTTGCATCCAAATCTTTGGAGGTAGGAGCCAGACCAGACGTCAGTAGCTGTCAAAGCCCCTCAGGTGGTTCCCCTGCAGCCCAGGTTGAGGACTTTCCAGAGTAGAGGCTTCTTTTTTTTTTTTTAACATTTTTATTAATTTATTTATTTTTGTTACAGATGTTTCCACTTTTTTCACCCACTGATTCCCCCTTCCATCTCTCTCCCCACCTTTGTTGTCCATGTCCATACATACATGCATATAAGTTCTGTGGTTTATCCCCCCCACCTCCTCTTCAGGGGATTGTCAGTCTGTACCCCACTTCCACATCTCTGGGGCTACCCCATTCCTCAGACTGTTATGTTCATTATATTCCAGCTTCGTTACTCGTTGAGGAAGATGCAGTGTGACCAAACAAAAGGGCAGCCACACCAGAGTTTATCTGTGCTGTTTCATGTAGTCTAAGCGAAGACCTCCTCCTACGTTTGCTTGATGAGGCCCATTTTACAGCTAAGAAAACTGAGTCTCGGCTGGGCTGAGCCTCTGGGGTGGCAGATCTGGCCGGCGGGCCAGGGTTTGAGGGCAGTACATGAAGCACACACTCCCTGCCTTTGCTCTGTGCTGCCTGCCGGTGGAGGGATGGAGGGTGGTGTGTGTGGTACAGGGCAGAGCGAAGAAACCAGAGGCAAGGAAGCCCGGGAGGAGGAAGCGTGGGGATCAAGGTGGGAGGCGGTGGGAGACGAGGACGCTGGGACTCGGCAGTTGCCTGGAAGGCCTGTGAGCCAAGACCACCAGCTGAGCAATGCCATCTGTCTGTCCCCTGAGCCAGAGCACCATCCCGTGCCCCCTCCTTGGAGGATGCTGCACCCGGGAGTCTCAGACACGAAAGACACAGCAGCAGCCGCGCCCCCTCCAGGACGCCCAGCTCTCCCCGGCAGCAGGCAGAGCTCATCCAGAGCGTTCTCCGGCGGGTCCTTTCAGGAGATCTACGGTCTCGGGTTTTATAGGCAGCAGATGTAAAAACGTGGTTTAAAGATACCATCTTCAGCTTGACCAGGCGTCTTTTGAAAAGTAAATTAATGATAGAATGAAAAGCAATAAGGAGATGCTTTTTCCTTTCCCCCCTTGGAGATGGAGGAAGATCTAAAGCGTTTAGCACTCAGTGAATCTCCTCTGAACCATGTGCCTCTAGGGTGACGAAATGGACAGAGAGAAAGGGGAGCTGCACACGGTGTGGAAATGCGAGATGGCAGCGTGAGCCAGGAGCCGCGCTAGGCCCGGGCTGTGATGCAGGCCAGCAAGGTGCACTGCTGTCCACGGGGACCATGGAGGCTGCTGCCCCTCACGTGGGAATGGGTGAGCTCTTGTGCCAGGCCCCTGCTGGGTGCCGCAGGTGCAGAAATGAATCAGACCTGGCCCCAGCCCCGGAAGAACACGTGGTCCGGGTGAGGCCTGTGAACCATGGCAGGAGGCCCCCTGCCGGCAGGAAACCCAGGGCCGTGGGGCAGGAAAGAGCCTGGAGGAGGAGAGGATGGCCAGAGCTAGACCAGCAGAGGAAGGAGAAAGGGGCAGGATGACACAGAGGATCTGGAATGCAGTTAGAGAGGGGGAACCAGGAGGAGGGGTTACTGGGTATGGGCCCTGGCCCTTCTCAGGCTGGGATGGCTGAGTTTGGACCTTGGGTTTGGTCTGGTCCTTTCCTGAGGGCAGCCTGTGCTTGGTCCCGGGGAGATTTCCGTAGATACACAAGTTCTAGTCACTCTGTTGTTCCCCTCAGGTGTCCTGGTGGTCAGCGCCCCATTGCCCTTGTTATCAAGCCCAGGATGTTGGACTGGAATCTGATCTGATGCAGAGTACTGCTCCATCTTCACCTCCCCTCTCAGACCCTGGAGCTGGGTGCGCTAAAATCTATTGTCCCTGACCTAATATACAAAGCCCCGCAAGGACTAGCCCCTGGCTCTCTCTGACTTAGTTTCCTTCCGTATACTCTTCCCTCCGTCATGCTGCTCCAACCACCAAAGTCTTTGTGCTGTTCCTCACGCATGCTAAGCTCTCTCACGCCTCAGGACCTTTGTACCTGCTGACCCCTCTGCCTGAAATGCTCATGCCCTACATGAGCTCACCCAAGACTCACTCCCTTATTTCATTCAAGTCTCTGCTCCAGTATTACCCCTCCAAAGACTTTACCTGCATTTATTTTATCTTTTTTTTTTTATCACTACCTGAGATTATAGATTTATTTATCCTGCCCTTGGTATGCCTCCCCCATTAATATGCATTTTTTTTCATGGCTAGATCCTCAATACCTAGAATAGTATTTGGTCTTAATAGGGGCTCAGTAAATATTTGTTGAATGAATGAACTATTTCCAATTTAGTTCCCTAAATTGGTTGGGCTTTTTGTCCTCTCCAGGTCTTTGCACACGCTACCCAGAAATCATCCTCACCGGCCAGCTCCTGCCTCCTCCTGCCTCTTCACCGAGGGTCTGCAGGGTATAGGGCAGGTGTCCATCAACCAGAAAACCAACGCTGACCCCTTCCATTTTCCCACCCTGCGTCAGGCGCCATCTGATACATTTTACACCCCCCTTCACCGTAGCCGACTTGTCTGTCTTCAACCCAGTGACTTCTGGCAGGGTGGACGGGGCCCCCATTTACTTCTGGAGCCCCAGCACCGGCACAGGGTCTGGAGCCCCCAGTAAAAGTTTGTTAGATGCTGTTCTCTCTAGTCCCTCTGCCAGGGCAGCGATTTTCAACCCCTTTCATCCCATGGCACACAAACTAAGTACTCAAATTCTGTGGCACACCAAAAAATATATATTTTGCTGATGTGACAAAAATGTAGGTATAATTTTGATTCATTCACACTGGATGGCTCCTGTTGTGATGGCTGTTGTCATTTAAAACATTTTTTGATTTGACAACATAAGGGAGAAGAGGTCAGTGCCCTGGCTAGGTAGTCAAGTCTGGCATGCTTTAAGAATTCTTACGGCACGCCGGTGGGAAATCGTTGTGCTGGGGGAACGGATCCACACCAGGCTTTGTGTGTCGTGTGCAGAAGTTTGTAAGAGAGATTCCCCACGGAAGAAGTCCTCACGGGACCCCTGCATCCTGCAGCCTTCCTGGTGCGTTAGGGGACCATCCACACCATCCCTAGT